ACATTTCTAATTATTGATAAATTATTTTTTTATATTAGCTCTTCAAAATTCAAATGCATGTAATGTATCGTTTCTGGACATTGAATTGTATAAATTCCCTTTAAAATGATTGAAAAATTTTTGTTTATCGTTTGTGAAATCCAATCAATGAGTTTGTTGGGAAAATTCATTTCGTTAGAATTTCTGTAGTGGATAAATACTTAAGTAGCATCTTTTTACATTTATTCAGCCGATGACGACTTATTTATTTTTATTAGGATTAAATTGTCCACATCTCAATTGGAATTTGCGGTAAAAATGATAACTTGGAGGCTTAAAACATTATTTGTGCTATTTTATTACGAGTAAAATTTTGCAGTTTTTGGTTCTATGCAATCCTTTTCATCACTCAATTCAATTCATTGCTTGACTATTGGAAGATTTAGAACAAGGAGGTCCGTACCAAATGCAATAGACCATGCTAGTTTTTGGTGTACTGTCTCTATTTTGACGTTTTTCTACCAAGATCACATCACTCTCATGAATTGAAATAAATCTACACATGGTTCCCAATAACCTTCCGTTAATATATCCTCAATTAGTGCCACTTCTACTTGCTGGCATATTTTCCGTTCTTATTCCATCCATTTAGACTTTTTGTATGACCACACGTCCATTCTATCATCCTCATTTCGCCACAAAACACACATGGTACTTGGAGGCTTAAAACATTATTTGTGCTATTTTATTACGAGTAAAATTTTGCAGTTTTTGGTTCTATGCAATCCTCTCTCCCTGGAAGAGACAGCAAAGCTTCCGAACCGCGCACATCAAAGTATTTTCCAGCAAATTCATGTATATTTGAACCTGAACACAAACAGAATAAGTGCATGTTTGGTATTGATTTTTCATCCCAAAAAATCAAAATTTTTACGATTATTTCACTATTTCAACTGTTATTTTTGACCTTCTCTCTCACAGGTGAGACACTTTTCCCTTTGACGGTCAAAAAATCAATTCTTATAATCACTATTAAACAAGCCCTAAACCTTTTTCCTAATAAATTTGGCTCTACTCCTGCATGAATCCTTTTTCATCAATCAATTCAATTCATTGCTTGACTATTGGAAGATTTAGAACAAGGAGGTCCGTCCCAAATGCAATAGACCATGCTAGTTTTTGGTGTACTGTCTCTATTTTGACGTTTTTCTACCAAGATCACATCACTCTCATGAATTGAAATAAATCTACACATGGTTCCCAATAACCTTCCGTTATTATATCCTCAATTAGTGCCACTTCTACTTGCTGGCATATTCTCCGTTCTTATTCCATCCATTTAGACTTTTTGTATGACCACACGTCCATTCTATCATCCTCATTTCGCCACAAAACACACATGGGAGGGTTAGTCTCATATATACTTTTCACTTCACACAGTTTTGATGCAGCAGAAACAAATAGTTAAAAACTTCTATTTGATTACTTGACCTTCCCTTGCCATGTGGCTCTAACTTCTTTATTTATAACTTGTGCTGCTGGTTTCTTCTTCTCATTCCTTTGTAAATTTGCAATGTAAGTTTAGTTTGCTGTTAAAAGTGATCACATAGGCCTCAACTAGAACTTAGGTGGGGGCTTTGACATTGGCCCTAGAGAATTAACCCAGATTGAATCAACCATAAGACCAATATATTTCATCCTTCAATTCCTTTATAACTAAATTCAAGAATTTGTGCATACAAAAGCAAACGCAACGTAATAATATTCAATACACAATCAAATCTTCAAATTGTCCCCACTTCGTGACCTGCAAAGGTGAAAGAAATATATAAAAGCTGTAAGCAACTAAGGAAAAGGCAATTGGTAAATAGTGAAATCTTCATTGACCAGACGTTGCTGACATCTCATTACAGCAAGGATATAATATGCACGATGAAATGAAATTTCTATAGAACGGCTAGAATTTTGTTTCTTTACATATGTAAAGCTCTTGATCCAAGAAACACTGAAACCTCACTTTGGAATGGAATCAGTAAAAACAGATGAAATACGCACATATTGAGATTAGAGGGCCAATTTTATTATCACAGATTATAAATTACAACAATTTCGTAGCCTGACTGGGTGAGAAAGTCATCATGAACTTGTTGGAGGCAAAAAATATATTACGGAGCAGAGACTTTAGTTCATCCGTTAGCAAGGGTTATCGAAAAAAATCATTATACTGCTCCCATATGAAGAGGACTCTCATTAGTTTGGATGCAAGGATTCCAAATTTAGTTGACAAATATTTTCTGTATGCTAAAACTGACAGTATATTAGTTTTTCAACAGATAATATGCTTAGAATGAACTCAATTTGAAGTATGAAAAAAATACTCTTGAGGAAACAAATAACTAAATTTTAGAACATTCAATTTTTTCCAACAGTTTTTTAAATATTTTTCCCACCTTTTGAAACATAAGGAAATCCTTCAGGAGGAAATATCAACTAATGTATTGTCAATAATAACCCCCATCGCGCACACACCCAAGCAAAAGTTTCAAGTTTTGTTTCCATTGACTCACCTTGATCAACATTGCTATTGACTGGTCTGTCATTTGTGCAACACACTCTTTTTTGGCAGCTTCATCTTCTTCTGAGACTGGTTCTGCCAAAGTTTATAAAATCAAATGGGAGAACAGTGATTTTAGCGACCATCATTAGATCTACAAACAGAGAGAGAAGAAAGAAAATTCACCTTTTGTCTTTCCAAGGCTTCAGCATCAGTCCTCTCTCTCCAGGTGCTCTTACGAAGTTTGATTGGTCGATTTCCAACGTATTTCCCTGACATTAAAATATTATGTACCTCTTCAAAAGTCCAAGTAGAATTCCAATTCATGTTATTTTCCCTTTGTGAGGTGAAACCACAATCATAATTAAAGTCCTGTGATTTAAGCACTTAGATAGGAAACTAATTACTCATTTACTTCGTCATTATTCTTATGTCATATTATAATATAGCTGGTCCAAACCCAAAAAAAAAGAGGGCTGATTCAATGGACTTAAACCTAGCATAAATCTGTGTTAGTTTCTGCATGCCATTAATAGAACGAAATGGAAAAGGAACTACAAAGACCCTAGATAAGTAGGATAAATCATAAGAGTTGAATTCTAGGTGGTCAGGATGTGCGAGGTTAAGCATCCCCAACCAGCCATCTAGGTGATGGAAGCTGGATATGTTGCAGATTATACTGTAAGGGTTTGTCCTTTTAACGAACTAATTGAAGATAATGGACAAAGGACACCAAAAGTTCCCAAGTGGTTAAAGTCCAACAAGTCAAGTTTGAAGGTTTGAGTTGGAGAAGGGGGTTTAGTGGCTGCCCCCTAGTTAAGAGTCCCTTGGACTAAAAACTAAAAACAATGGAAGAATGAAATAATGCAACCAAGAGTGATACAAGCAGAAAACGACCACATAAGAATCCGAGCGCAAAAACCAATTACCATTCATTTCTTTAAGTGCTGCAGCAAGGTCTGAAGGGTTGGAAAAACTAACAAATCCATAGCCCTTGGTTTTGCCCGTCCGCTTGTCTCTTACAACCTGGTCCAAGATATTAAGTCCACATTAATTGATTGCTGTTCCTAGAAAGCATAATTGAGGCTATATACATTCTTTCCAAAATGCAAAAGATTCAGCAACTATAGAAGCAAAAGACAAATCAGAACCTCAAATTGTAAGAAGAATAAGAAGACAGAGATGAAGAAAAAAGACAATATGGAGGAGGGGAAATAAATTCAAAGCTCAGTTAAAAACATGAGAACCAATTTGGCTGCATCTGCACTCATCAGGCATGGATTGGAAATTAACATGGATGATGATGATAGGTTCCTGGCTGATATGGTTGTTAAACTGCAGATTCTGGCTGCTGATCCAGAGGAATAGTAGCTGGAACTGGTTGCTACACTAATTTGTGGGATTGAACACTGAAATTGTAATGTGACTGCAAGATGATGTCTATGGAGTTAATGGAATTGTATATTGTAAAAATAGATTATTTTTATTGATATAAACTGGAATGAAAGGCATGAAATTAAACATAATCCAAGGCATTCAAGAGGCCTTGATCTCTCCCCACTTTTCTAAACAGAATTCACTACATTCCCCCTATCACATTTATAGACATTTTATTATATTCCTATTACCCTTTTGCCCCTTTGCTGACTAAGTGGAATATTCTAGAATATTGGATGACTTGGCGGCCTTCATATTGGTTGTATCCTTGCAAACCGATTGGAGATCTATAAGATGAAATGAATAAGCTTATAATCCATTTATTCATTCATTTTTAATTCAGTACTCTCCACATTCAGGTAAATATTTTTGACTATCTTGTATATCACCATATACACTGATATGTTAGCCTAAAAGTTAATCTTCAGGCAGCAAGACAAATCGGACACTTTCTATTATCTTGTACTTACCCATTTGTCTGTTTGTTAGCAGTACTACACATTCAGGAAGATATTTTTTTTACCATCTTCTAGGTTAACATATTCAGGGATATATTTTTCTTAGACCTACAAAATAATCTTCAGATTTAAGGGAAATCTGTAACTTTCTACTGTCAAACTCCTCCATTTTTCTCAAGGTAATAATATTTTGAAAGGGCATAAGTTGTAGGTACACCATTTATGTGAAGCAAGAACTACTGCAGCCAGGAAGCTTAAGCAAATGCACTCGCATAATAAAAGAAAAAGAAAGCCAAATCCATTCTAAAGAATATATTTCCTGGTTCTCTAGCTCGTTCTTCAGCCAAAATTTGGTAGGGCCCCCTCATTCTTGTTGTCTTACCT